TTTTTTATGTAAAACTTTAAATTAATAATAAAATCTTAAATTAAATTATATATAACATTAATGTTTTTTAAAAATAATATACATAATTCTTTGCTAATTGGTCAAGTATAAAATATTGCATACATGAAATTGTTTATTGTACTTATATTTTTATACTTTTTATACTTTTTAATCATTAATACTAGAAATATAAGTATACATCATACACAACATAAATTAAGATGCCAAAATAAAATTAAAAATATATATATATTTTTTTTATTTTTAATGCCAAAGTGTGTTAGTAATTCTTTAATACACTTTTTTTTTTTGTGATATCCAATGACTATATTTTTAAAATTTTTATGGATATCAATACCTACAATTTTTTTTTGGAAAATTTGAAGTATTTAATACCAAATTTTCAAAAGAAATATCAGTTTTAAGTCTCTTAATTATATTTATTTTGATGATTATATTTTTCTGAAGGGAAATGTTTTGAAAAAAAATATAAAGTGACATTTAAGTACTTAGTTTTCAAATTATGTTGTATAACTATGTTTTTAACATGTTAATATATATACACACACACACACACACACACACATATATATATATATATATATATATAGATATATAATCTTTACTATAGATGAAAATATTTTTTGGTGATCATTTTTTTTAAGCGTAACATTTTGATACAAATTTGGCTTTGTATCTCACTCCAAATATTATAAAGAGTTTTATTTTATTTTATTTTTTATTTTTTTTACACCAACTATTTTTTTATTTTTTATTTTTAAACCCACTAAAAATTGGATTATATATGATATTATTGATTAAAATTTTGACATCTTTGAGTCTTAATAAAGTTTTGAGAATATCTTAAATTAAAATGTACATAATTTGGTTGACAATAAAGATAATTCAAATCTAAAACTTGTAGAGGTAAAGAACATACAAAACTCTTTCTAGATTTGGCTATTCAAGTTTAATATCTATTTTTTTTATAAATATAATAAATATTTTTTACTAAGAAAATTTTAGAACCCATTTAAAATAATTATTAATATTAACATAATAAAAATATATAAAATATTTTAATTTTTTATTAAAATTAGGCATAAAATATATTGTAGTTATTTTAGGAAAGAAAAATAACTAGGCATGTGTGGAAGTTTAAGATAAATAAAGATTTTCTTGAAACAAGTAAGAGAAGATAAAATATTAGATTAGTAGTAAAAAACATACTAATTTTTAAAATTTATTATTATTATTTTTATTATTTTTTAATATGTGGTAACTAATACTTGTATTTCTATGTTCTTAACAACAATTGAAAAACATGGCTCAGAATCAGAGCAGTTAGATATAATTCCTTCTTTGCATATCAAAAATAGTAACAGTAAAGAATCCACACATGAAAAGACAGGGACTTTAAGAAGCTTAAAAAGTAAAACTTTGTAAGCGTGTTGAAGAAACTAAATAGATTTAATTAGAATCATAAGCAATAATATAATTAATTTGATCTATTCTAAATAAAAAAGAAAGTACACACTAATAGATTAACAGAAAAAATTAAATTGAAGGTTTGATAACAAATATTTTAAATTTGCTAAAAACATTCTAGATATAAAATTCTATAGAGATTGTAGTATGAATTTAATTATTACTAAAATTGTATATTAAAAAATTATTGATGTACTTTGGTACCAAAAAAACTAATAATTTTTTTTGAAAACTTAATTTAAATTATTTATAATAGAATTTTATATTTACAAAAATAAATATATATCGTGCATTCTTTATGTAAATGCAATAGATAGTCTCATAAATGCCACAATATGTACATTTGTAAAATTGAAATTTTGTACTTGATTGCTAAATGTATTCATCATAGAGTTGTATTATTGACAAATCAAAAATCCAAATTAGACTATGGGAACATCGTTTTTGCAAAGCATGTTGTAAGTGAATATAATTTTAATTGCTTTAAAATATATTTTGTGTATCCTATGCAAATTCAATATAGCATTTGAACAAAATTTGATAGAATTATTCACATTCAATTTTTAGCCAATTTTTGCAAACAACACTTGCAAAAATAGGTAAATCTTTGTTGCAAGATATACTAAAATTTCTATTCTTAGGATGATCTTAATAGCCTTTTTAGTATTAATTTAACAAAGAAACTAATCTATATAGAATTATTTTAAGATAAACGTTACTTCTTGCAAGAAATTTACTGAAAGAATTAAAACTTGATAAAAAAGATAGATCTAATAATCTGTTACTTTAATCAAGTTAGGATTTAGAAATCAAAATTTATTCATATATTGTATTAAGAATTGGATGACTTGTAATTAGAAGAGTATTTATTAATGATTGAGCAAAAGATGGTGATAAATACTTAACTCTGAAGGTAGAAATTTAGAATAAGAAAGCAATGTTCTATATAAAATAGCTAAGTACAAAAAAAATCACCACAATGTCAAAAGTGCAAAAGATGAAGTGAAGATAAAAAATAGAAAAATAATAAAAATAAAATTTATTTTCGGTTAGAAAAACGAAATTAAAGAAAGTAGTTTAGATTTGTTTTGAAGCTATGGGTTTAATTTTTTAATTTCTTTTAATAGCTAATTGATTGCAAAAGTAAAATAATAATATTGTGCCAAAAATGTATTAGTATTAATATCTAAGAAATTTATTTATTTATTTAAATAATTTTTTAATATTAAAAAAGAATTATTATAATTTAACATGCTAATCTTGATTTTATATAGAGTAAAAAAACTTAATTAAATAACATATCCTTACATAAAATATATCCTTATAAATAAAATAATAATTATTAAAATCTAAGTGTGACATAATGGAACTTAAATTATAATTACCTATAATCAAAAATCTATTATAATAAAATATAAAAATAATAATAGATTTTTAATATTAAAATATCTCAATTCGTGTATATAAAATACTTGAGCATTTGAAGTTTTTGAAAAAAAATCAAAGTCTATTTATAATTATAGAAATAAAGTTTAATTAGTAAAAAATTTAATTAAATATTTTGATCAAGTTTTTACAAATTATTTTTATCAAGATTTCATAATTTATTTCTTAAGTGAATTTTTTTATTTTTAAAATTTAAAATTTAATAACTAATAGTATATTCTTATAATTCTATGATTTTTTATTTTTTATTTATTTTTTATTTTTTTATTTTATGTCATTTCAAACCACTTGATTGAAATAAAATTTTAAAAGAATTCTATAAATATTATGCTAAAAGTAACTTAAAAATTCAATAGACTTTATTCAATATTTATTTTCTATTTTTTAAGAATTAAAATAATAATTAATTATTTTAGCTATCCTAAAATAATTATTTAACTTATTATAAATCATCTATTTCTAAAAAAGACTACTTGTACATCTAAAAAAGATACTTTTTTAATGTATATTTTTTAAAAATTTATTTGAAACTACTTAAAGTATTTCTATTACTCTAAAATCTATTAGGAAGAATTTAGTAGAATTTTTTAGTTTAATCACAATTTAATTTTTTTAATAGTTATAAAGCCTTTTAAAAATTACAAAAGTTAAAATCTATATTATTAAAAGTTGAATTCTCATACAAATTTGAATTCTAAATAAGTGATAATAGACATATTAGATCTAATGGATCTTGTCCAAAAAAGTTAAATATATATACATATTTATTATTAAATATTTAATTATACATTTTTATTATAAATAAAAATTATAAGTATATAAACTAAAAAATTGATAAGTTTTGTATTTTTTCCATGATTTTTTATTAGTATTATGAAAAAAAAAACAGAATATTGTTAGGGGATGAATGATGCATTTTCGTCAATTTTTTCAAATATAATAACACATATATGCATATACATACACATTTTATAGATTTTATTCAACTGGTCACAATCTGTGGGAACTGATGATTGAACAGTAAAGCACACGCGTTTGAATGTTTATTCTGTATCCAAATTTTGCTTGCAAATCATATCGGCTTTCTCTATATTATGTTGAAGAATGAGCTGGAGAACATGGTGGGGACAACAGAAAGCTTCTATCTCAGGGCTGGTTGCTGCAACTAACTGAACCCAAAATGCATGTGCCTCTAACCTGCACCAACCCATCTAAGTTGTAGCACTTTCATCTTTACGACACAAGTACCTCACATATTCCACACTTTGCTACACATGGACTTGCACTTTCTGTGCCGAATGTCGTTAACAACATGTAAAGTGATCAGGTTCATGGGTTCTATAAGACTGGTATGTTGTTCAGACTTCTAAATGAATTCGCTCCCAGGACGAGGACCTATGACCTACCGTGATAAGTAGAGGTATTCTATGAAGTCTTGCGTAACTTTCACCTCGCTGTCCCTTTCAAGCATTTGTGCAAGTTGGCAACCTTGTACCCTTCACAAGCTACAGAAGATTTCAACAAGACACACATACACACGCGCACACATTTACCAGTGAAATATGAAACCCAAACAGGCCCTCCAAACTAGACTTGTAACTTTCATAAAGTCCCCCTTAAACTCAGAATTCCAGTTGGATTCAGAAGCAGTTATTCACCAGCCCCAACATTGCCTTTCATCTAGGACAATGCGTACAAACATAGAAGACTTGTGCAGGGCCATATCTATCATTGCGTATGTTATGAGTCCATATAGATATCGAAACGCATGTTAATCTGAAACACGTCCTCCCATGCGCACATCAAGATCAGCAAGCATCTGCTTGTGTGAGGAATTAGTTTCGCCCTTATCAGACATCTGGGTGACCTTACCAAGAGCTATGACCTTTGGTATTAAAGTAGTGTTGTGAACTGGTGAGGCAGCCGCAGGGAATGAAACAACAAGAGCATAGATCTTTTCGTGATGATCAGCGAGTAAACCCTACTGGCATCACCTCAAACTTGAGCTCAATATTTTATCGTCTCAACACTGATTCTGTTTTCTTGCACGAGCGAGCGTGTGCACGTAAAAAGAAAATCTATATGAAGAATTATTTCAGTTATCCCATGCCTGCACACTATATTACTTAATTTCCAAGGGCGCTAAGTCTCTGCTTTTTGCTAGAAATCAATCTACTGTGCCGTAGGAAACTGTATTCTTTTAACTGCTGGAAGTTGAAAATTGGGCATGAATATCATAGCTGAATACATTCAGGCACCTGCACCTCTGAGACATAGTTCATCGCACAAGTCATATAATTGAGTACGTTCGCGATTACATTTCGGGGGCTGATGGTAGATTACAATGTTAATGTACCATAAAATCACAGCTTCGATTTTGGGTCCTGAGACTGCTGAAAATTAGTCAAACTGAGATGAGGCAAGCCTCGTTGTCCACTTAAGACAAACAGTGACGACTAGGCAAGCCGTTTAGATGGTCACATTCGGTGGGATGTTGTGAGAAACAACCAATAAAACAAAAGGGCAGCCAAGAGTACATGGAAACGATGTGCTACATTAATGCCGCGCAGAAACCAGATGTAAAACTGTTTATTTTACTCTGCATTCTGTTTGTCTCAAGGTGATACTAGGGATAACAATTTTTGAGACTAGCATCAAATTGACTTCCCTAATTCTCTTCTGCACCTGTATGTCGTTTCTCTCTCGTGAGGATACGTGATTTTCTGAGTTGCGAATAGCTCCAAGCTATCAATGCCCCTCAGTTGGATCCATCGAACTCGCATCTATTGTGTTGTCGAGTGAAGTTAAAGAAGCTGGGGTGCTCTGAAACATAGTCTTCAAGAAACAAGTGTCAATTCTAGCAAGTAAGAACATCCAATCTGCCGCAGCAACTTTTTTCTGGTTGTCAAGTCTTATTTGAACCCATAAAACACCACATTCGCCAAAAATATACTAGAGTTATATCACGTGATTTCCGATGGAATGCATTTCACTTATCCCAAAATTGTGAAGAGAAACGAGATACATTGTACAGCAACACGTTGGAAAACTTGAACTTATCAGCTGGGGTTAATTTGCAGGGGTCAGTGCCGATCAATAGTTCAACTTCAGTTCATCGATGCTGCACCACATGTACAACCTGTACGTTTACGACCTTTGAGCCGATCATCAAGACTACTCAAATATGAATGAACTCGTGGTTCATCACCGAGATAAGAAGTACATCTTTTTCACAACCTCTCCAACTGTGAGGTAGATGTAATAGAGGGGATAAGCGGTAGCATCAGTTAGACAGCAAATGGAAACAAGCCATCATAAGGTACTTGGTTGATGTCCCGTTCAACAACTCAAGCTTGTATTTGCCTGTCACACCCTTAAGAAAAAACTTACCGGAAACTAACTGTACCCGCCTCACCTTGATCGAAGTTGTTCACTGAACGCCATCCACATATGTATGCAACTGCAATGGACATACTGAATCTAGTCGAGCAATGTGGGTGGCCCCAATCAAAACAACTTCCAAAACTTGTGGGTTCAGTATTGCAGCGACGAGTCACTTGTTGCAAAACAACATCGTGCATCAACCAACTAATACTTTCCACTACACCACTAGACTAGTCAGTCTGTCCACACAAGTTGCATGCATATTTACACAAGCGTGCGCACGCTCGATTTCTAGTTACAGATAACCCCGACCAGTCGCTGAAAGATCTTCATTCCTAGATGAGGGTCCATGAATTGATCAGACAGAATCGGTGAACCTCATGCCTAACAGCTACTTATATTCTGAAACAAATTACTGCCAAGCAAATGCGAAGCAACTTCCCCGAAGTTTTGAGGGAAGCTGGGGGCAGAACGCAAGGTGCTTAGGCCTCTCCAGATGAACCCAATGTTCACGTACAGCTCACATCTTTACATACCCGAAACCGCAAATATAGAAACGCAATCTCGATGTGCAAGCAAAGTGCTCACCCAAGGAATGAACATTCGTCGCTCTTGGTTTTAGCTTCGAATGGATCAGGGCAAATATAAAGCCACTGTTGCTTCGCATGCTCTTCCTCTTGAAGAATATGACGTGGAGGGCCACAAACTTCGCAACCGTGAGGCATGGCGGCCTGTGTAGAAGTCAAATTTGGCGCTGGAGACCACTGCCTACTCACTAGAGGTTCTGAGCTGTTTCTCAGCAGCAGCATGTGCCATGAATCCACTAAATTACTTTGACCCCCTGTGGACTTTGAGGGGCCACTCTCCAAGTATGTCTGCTTGGAGCTATCTCCATCTAGTTCACCGTCTGATTGCAGAGCATTGAATGCAACAGTAAAGTTCATTTCAGTTTCAACGGCCATGACTCGGACAAGCAGTGCCGTTATTTTATTATTCGCTTCTTGATACAAAAGTGGGAGATTCCATTTTGAAAACCGAAGTAACTGTCATCCCCGACTGGATAGGGTGAGCTGGATTTACATTCCCTGAACTGGCAAAGAGGACAATCAAACTTCAGCCAATCAAGGAGAGTGAGGTGAGGGAGGATGCTACTCTCAAATGGCTTCTGTTTCCACATGACTTTCATGCCAAGTCCCTTACCAAACACAGCTTTCACCTACTCAAGAAAGTTGGTCACTATTTTTAATTTGATCTTTAAGGTGACTTTGTGGCCGAAGGTTAAAATTCAGACCTAAAACAACGGCCAATCTTCAATTATTTATTATCACATTGTAATTTTGTTTGTTTGTAGGGTATTCTTAGATATCTCATCATATGCTTGAAAGACTAGCAAGTGTATGTAAATTGACAATTTTGAGTTTATCTGTAACAAATGCTTCGTGCTTTCATTTTGGCTTTATTGACGACTTCTCTAAAATTAGATCTTGTTACAAATTTCAACAAGAAAACAAGTATTTTCATTAACTTACTATTTAGCTAGCAGCAAATATATTTTTTTATTGTAAGATTTATTTTTCATACATATTAGTTATTAGTCAATAGTAATGAGTTTGAATATATAAATGGCTAGATTGTTGCTAATTAGTTTATCATTCTTTCTATTACAGGTTTGAATGTTCAAGTAATTCAAAAAGCATTATTTTTTAAAGAATGTGTTTAACAAGGGAAGTATTAAATTTTTATTTTATTTTATTTTTATTTTTTATGTCTTCTTGTTTTTGATAATATGTTTGATTAAAATACTTACACATAGAGTATAGATAAGAAAGAAATTTATAAATTGTACCTCAATTTACATTGATGCTTCTTATTTTATTTCCTAAAAAACTTCTATTAATTGGAATTACTTCCTTCTTCACCTCTCAAGACGTTTTTGGTCTTTTTCCTCCAAATAGATATTATCTTTAATTTTTATAGTATGTACTAGCATACTAGTATCTTTAAGTTTTTACTAATTTAACATATAAATAGAGAAAAGATGTTATATCTTGTATAAAGTTAAAACTATTTTTTTATTCTATTCAATCTCAGATTATATATATATATATATATATATATATATATATATAGTTTTAAATGTTTGATTGGCAACTCACTAATGTAAGATTATCGACCTTTATTAATTTTATGTTTTAGAATTAAAAAATTATAAAAAATATAAAAACATGTATCAAACTAATATAAATAATTTAAATTAAATTAATAATATTTTTTAAATATTTAAAATATAATACAAATAAAAAAAATAATATCACAAATTATCTAGGATAGATTTTAAAAATATCATATTATTAAATATGTTCAATTATTTATATTATCAAATTTAAAAAAAATAATTAAAAAAAACGTCTTTAAAAAAATTTCAAATCTTTTTTAAAAAAAATTAATCATATAATTTTTAGTAAAAAATCTAAATAAAGATAAAAATATTATATTTATATTAAAATTCTTTAGTATAATTCATGTATTAAGAAAATAATAATTTGAATTAAACTTTTTAAATAGATTTATTAGTATAAAAATACATTAAAAGATTTTAAATAAAATATATCTATGTTTGTATTAGTTGTTAAAAAAGTAATATTCATTAAGATAAAAGTTTTATCATATTTTACTATTAAAATTTTAAATAATAAAATAAAACTTTGTGAGTAATCTTTTTATTATGTAGTTGTTATTTTACATGATATCTATTTTAATCATATTTTAATGGTAATTAATCTGAAAATTTATTTTTAACATATACACATAACAAATAACGGATATGTATTTTTTTCATCTTTTTACATGAGAATATATATATATATCTATATATCTATATATGAAATAACCAATTATTATTTATATATTTTTTTAATTTTTATTTTTATTTAGTTTTAGTATATATTGCTTATAATTTAATCATAAGCATAAAATATATTTTTTTTATAAATAATTAATATTTATTAAGTATTATCTAGTTATTTTTTATTATATAAAGACTTTAAACTTAAAAATAATTAGATATAAAAAATATACTATATTAGATAGTAAAATCATATTTATAATTATTTTTTGAAAAAAATAACACAAAACTATACATAAATAAAGAAATAAATGAAAAAATTTATTAAGCTTTGAGTCAATAATTTCAAGCATATTTATCTAAAATGAATGAAATTAAAAACTAATGATTTTATATCTATTAATAGATTTTATTGATCATACTTATATTTCATATTTAATAAGTTTAAATATAACTTAAAATTTCTTAATTTTTATCAATTTAATTTATTTTATTAGTGTATTTTCTTTTATATCTATTTTATTAAATGACCTTAGTATTATCAATGGCATTCTAAATGCAATGATATTTGACATCTATATATTTTATTTGAAAATAATGTAAGTGATTCTTTGCTACATATATAATAATTTTATTTTTATAATTTACTAAAGTTTTATCTTATACTAAATCAAATTCATTTTCAATCATATTATTTCTTTTACTGCTTCAAAAAAAGTCAATTGGTTTATTTTAATTATTAAAAGAATTATAATAGTTTATAGAATAGATTTATAATGTAAAAATATTCTATCTATCATGAAGACAAATTCAATAATAAACCTTTTCTTGTCCAAATCTTTAGTTAAATTAATATCAATAAATATAATAATAATAATAATAATAATAATTATTATTATTTAATAATTTTTACCAAATACAATGTAAAAATTCATAATGCTTTTCAAATAGCTATGATAGATGTAAATCTTAAAGAACTAAAAAATTGATAAAAATTATCACTCAAAAAGATTACAAAATCACTCTAAGATGATATAATATTAAATTAGAATGGCTATTACCAAAGATAAGAAGACTAAAAAGTCTTAAAATAAGACTAAAGATTATAAAGGCATTGATAAGTATTAAAAAGATTTTATTCTTTCTTCTTTATATACTAACTAACTAAAAGCTACATAGACCAAATCTATGTCTATGAAGCTTCTAAGAAGCTTTGTCACAAGATAATATTAAATCTATCTATATTTATCTTTATAAAATACTTATTTAGATAAATATATATGTTTGTAATATTACTCCCCCTTCTTGGGATGAGTTCCACAAAGAGTGGTCATTATATATTAAAGAAGTCCAAGATGCAATAAATTATATTTGCTACATACTTTGATCTTTATTTCTTTTGAAGGTGGTTGATAGGTCCTTTCAAACATTGATAGTATTTTATACTAAAGCAAGAAGACGACCTTATAATTTCATCATTGTTGAGGCCTTCGAAACTCTTTTCAAACAAAATATTTGTAACATTATCAAGAGTTATTCTTTATTTCTATTATGTTATTTTAAAGACTATGATAATTACAATATTTCATCCAATAAGTCAGCAAATGATAGCTCTTGAGTTGAATGTATTGGTTGTTGGTATTTCATCTTTTTAGTACCATAAATATACAAAAACTATAAACAAAAATAGAAGGTAGAATTATATCTTCTCTAGATCCTATATATATATATATATATATATATATATAAGATTTACTATTCTTCATCTTAATTTTGATAGATTTCATCAATAAAAAGCATCAACTTTCTTTGTTACATTTACAAGATTCTTTGTTTGCTTCTATGTATGTTGACTAATATCATATCTTTAGTAATATTATGGACATACATATTTATTCTAATATTTACTTATATAATTAAGTAAAAATAGTTAAAAATAATTTATTTCAAAATATTTTATAGAAAAACTTCTTAGAAGCTTCATAGATATTATTTTGACTTAATATGTATTTGCAATTGATTGATAGGATAAAAACTTAGTCAACAAGTTAAGCACATGTTGGTACCTTGCAAAATAAGTTAATTATGTAACATACATATAAAAATCTTGCCTTGCAAGTTAAGATACGTATCTTGCAAAGTCAATATGTTTTGGAGGTCCTATAAGATATTGCCACATTGTCATATTACATGACACCTTACTTGAAAATACATCAAGCACCTGGCTTTTGAAGATAGAAGGAAAATTACAACAATAAGATTCTAATTCTAATAAAATCTTAAATAATTTCAATTAAACCTTAATAATGTCAATTAACCTTTAATTAAATCCAAAGAATCCTTAAAGAAATCATGAAAGAAGCATCAAAAATCCCTAAAGAAATTCAAAAGAAGTATTAGAATAAAATCCTAAATATATCTTAAATAAATTCTAAAAAAATCTTAATTTAATCCTAGTTAAAGTTTTAATTATTTTTAATTAAATCCTAAGTCAAATACTAATTATATATTAGATAATCCTAAATTCTAAATAAATTCTATATCTTAATCAATTCCTAAACCTTAAACCAAATCCTAAATCCTAAATCAAATCCTAAATCCTAAATCAAATCTTAAATCCTAAATTAAATCCTAAATCTTAAGTAAATCCTAGTCAAATTAACCTAATCCTAAGATAATTTAAAACCTCAATATCTATCAATTATACCATTGATCTCGCTTAAGATTTTATACACCTCTCAACAACTAAGTCAGCAACAAGTACAGAAAAGTTGAA